GTGTCTATCTCTGTGTGTGTGTCTAATCTGTGTGTCACTATGTGTGTGTGTGTCTGTGTGTCTATCTGTGTGTGTCTATCTGTGTATGTGTGTCTAATCTGTGTGTCACTATGTGTGTGTCTGTGTGTCTATCTGTGTGTGTCTATCTGTGTATGTGTGTGTCTATCTGTGTGTCTAATCTGTGTGTCACTATGTGTGTGTGTCTGTGTGTGTCTATCTGTGTGTTTATCTCTGTGTGTGTCACTATGTGTGTCACTATGTGTGTGTCTAATCTGTCTGTGTGTCTAATCTGTGTGTGTCTGTGTGTCTATCGGTGTGTGTCTGTGTGTGTGTGTCTATATGTGTGTCTGTATGTCTAATCTGTGTGTGTCCATCTGTGTGTCTATATGTGTGTCTGTGTGTCTAATCTGTGTGTGTGTCACTGTGTGTGTCTATCTGTGTATGTGTGTGTCTATCTGTGTGTCACTATGTGTGTCACTATGTGTGTCACTATGTGTGTGTCTGTGTGTCTATGTGTGTGTGTGTGTGTCTATGTGTGTCTGTGTGTCTGTGTGTGTCACTGTGTGTGTCTATCTGTGTGTCACTATGTGTGTGTCTGTGTGTCTATCTGTGTGTGTCACTGTGTGTGTCACTATGTGTGTGTCTGTGTGTGTCTGTGTCTCTCTGTGTGTCTAATCTCTGTGTGTCTATCTGTGTGTGCCTATATATGTGTGTCTGTCTGTGTGTCTGTGTGTGTCACTATGTGTATGTCTATCTGTTGGTCTGTGTGTCTATCTGTGTGTCTCTGTGTGTGTCTATCTGTGTATGTGTGTGTCTATCTGTGTGTCTGTGTGTGTCACTATGTGTGTGTCTGTGTGTCTATATGTGTGTGTCACTGTGTGTGTCTCTCTGTGTCTGTGTGTCTATCTGTGTGTGTGTGTGTCTGTGTGTCTATGTGTGTGTGTATATTTGTGTGTCTGTGTGTCTATCTGTGTCTGTGTGTCTATCTGTGTGTCTCTCTGTGTGTCTATCTGTGTGTCTCTCTGTGTGTCTATCTGTGTGTCTCTCTGTGTGTCTATCTGTGTATGTCTGTCTGTGTGTCTATCTGTGTGTGTCTGTGTTGTGTCTATCTGTGTGTCTATCTGTGTGTCTGTCTGTGTGTCTATCTGTGTAGTGTTGTGTCTGTGTTTGTCTGTGTAAGGACACACACAGACACACACAGACACACACACACTGTGTCTGTGTGTGTGGGTGTCTGTGTATGGACACAGACACAGACACACACGCACAGACACACACACAGACACACACAGACACAGACACACACAGACACACACAGACACAGTCTTATTGTGATGTGTGATGATGATCTAAAGCAGTACCTGGGCCTCCCCTAGGTCGACTCAGCCTCAAATGAGTTAACTGGTGGTGCTTGCAGTGGTGGTGTAGTGGTGGTGGTGGTGTAGTGGTGATGGTGGTGTAGTGGTGATGGTGGTGGTGTAGTGGTGTAGTGGTGGTGGTGGTGGTGTAGTGGTGGTGGTGGTGGTGTAGTGGTGGTGGTGGTGTAGTGGTGGTGGTGGTGTAGTGGTGGTGTAGTGGTGGTGGTGGTGTAGTGGTGGTGTAGTGGTGGTGGTGGTGTAGTGGTGGTGGTGGTGTAGTGGTGGTGGTGGTGTAGTGATGGTGGTGTAGTGGTGGTGGTGGTGTAGTGGTGGTGGTGGTGTAGTGGTGGTGGTGGTGTAGTGGTGGTGGTGGTGGTGTAGTGATGGTGGTGTAGTGGTGGTGGTGGTGTAGTGGTGGTGGTGGTGGTAGTAGTGGTGGTGGTGATGGTGGTGGTGGTGGTGTAGTGGTGGTGGTGTAGTGGTGGTGGTGGTGTAGTGGTGGTGGTGGTGGTGTAGTGATGGTGGTGTAGTGGTGGTGGTGGTGTAGTGGTGGTGGTGGTGGTGTAGTGGTGGTGGTGGTGGTGTAGTGGTGGTGTAGTGGTGGTGGTGTAGTGGTGATGGTGGTGGTGTGGTGGTGGTGGTGTAGTGGTGTAGCCGTGTGTAGTAAACATCGCCACTGGGGAGACAAAGGCGGTCGGGCGTGGTGCTGGCCACCCACCCCCTCGTGTGCTGTGCCGGTCTTTACAGGTGCTGATCGCTAACAGCACTTGCCCCAACAGTCTGTTAAGGCTATATGGGGGATCTTTGTGTCACTGTGTGTGTACACTGTGTGTGTGACAGTGTGTGTGTGTCACTGTATGTGTGTGTCACTGTGTGTGTACACTGTGTGTGTGTGTGTGTCACTGTATGTGTGTGTCACTGTGTGTGTGTGTCACTGTGTCTGTGTGTGTGTCTGTGTGTGTCTGTGTGTCACTGTGTGTGTGTCTGTGTGTGTGTGTGTCTGTGTGTGTGTGTGTCTGTGTGTGTCTGTGTGTGTCACTGTGTCTGTGTGTGTGTCTGTGTGTGTCTGTGTGTCACTGTGTGTGTGTCTGTGTGTGTGTGTCACTGTGTGTGTGTTTGTGTGTGTGTCACTGTGTGTGTGTGTAACTGTGTGTGTCACTGTGTGTGTGTGTGTGTCACTGTGTGTGTGTGTCTGTGTGTGTGTGTGTCTGTGTGTGTCACTGTGTCTGTGTGTGTCTGTGTGTCACTGTGTGTGTGTCTGTGTGTGTGTGTGTCACTGTGTGTGTGTCTGTGTGTGTCACTCTGTGTGTGTGTGTAACTGTGTGTGTGTGTGTGACTGTGTCTCTGTGTGTGTGTCACTGTGTGTGTGTGTCTGTGTGTGTAACTGTGTGTAACTATGTGTAACTGTGTGTGCGTCTGTCTGTGTGTGTGTGTCACTGTGTGTCTGTGTGTCTGTGTGTGTCACTGTGTGTGTGTGTCACTGTGTGTGTGTGTCACTGTGTGTGTGTCACTGTGTGTGTCACTGTGTGTGTGTGTCACTGTGTGTGTGTGTCACTGTGTGTGTCACTGTGTGTGTGTGTCACTGTGTGTGTGTCACTGTGTGTGTGTCACTGTGTGTGTGTCACTGTGTGTGTCACTGTGTGTGTGTCGCTGTGTGTGTCACTGTGTGTGTGTCACTGTGTGTGTCACTGTGTGTGTCACTGTGTGTCTATCTGTGTGTCTATCTGTGTGTGTCACTGTGTGTGTGTCGCTGTGTGTGTCACTGTGTGTGTGTCACTGTGTGTGTGTGTCACTGTGTGTGTGTCACTGTGTGTGTGTCACTGTGTGTGTCACTGTGTGTGTCACTGTGTGTGTGTCACTGTGTGTGTGTGTCACTGTGTGTGTCACTGTGTGTGTGTGTCACTGTGTGTGTGTGTCACTGTGTGTGTCACTGTGTGTGTCACTGTGTGTGTGTGTCACTGTGTGTGTCACTGTGTGTGTCACTGTGTGTGTGTGTCACTGTGTGTGTGTGTGTGTCACTGTGTGTGTCTATCTGTGTGTGTCACTGTGTGTGTCACTGTGTGTGTCTATCTGTGTGTGTCACTGTGTGTGTCACTGTGTGTGTCACTGTGTGTGTCACTGTGTGTGTGTGTCACTGTGTGTGTGTCACTGTGTGTGTCACTGTGTGTGTCACTGTGTGTGTGTCACTGTGTGTGTGTCACTGTGTGTGTGTCACTGTGTGTGTGTCACTGTGTGTGTGTCACTGTGTGTGTCACTGTGTGTGTGTCACTGTGTGTGTCACTGTGTGTGTAACTGTGTGTGTGTGTGTGTCACTGTGTGTGTCACTGTGTGTGTCACTGTGTGTGTCACTGTGTGTGTGTGTCACTGTGTGTGTGTCACTGTGTGTGTCACTGTGTGTGTCACTGTGTGTGTGTGTCACTGTGTGTGTGTGTCACTGTGTGTGTGTCACTGTGTGTGTCACTGTGTGTGTCACTGTGTGTGTCACTGTGTGTGTGTCACTGTGTGTCACTGTGTGTGTCACTGTGTGTGTCACTGTGTGTGTGTCACTGTGTGTGTGTCACTGTGTGTGTCACTGTGTGTGTGTCACTGTGTGTCACTGTGTGTCACTTTGTGTGTGTCACTGTGTGTGTGTCACTGTGTGTGTCACTGTGTGTGTCACTGTGTGTGTCACTGTGTGTGTGTCACTGTGTGTGTCACTGTGTGTGTCACTGTGTGTGTGTCACTGTGTGTGTGTCACTGTGTGTGTGTCACTGTGTGTGTCACTGTGTGTGTCACTGTGTGTGTGTCACTGTGTGTGTCACTGTGTGTGTGTCACTGTGTGTGTCACTGTGTGTGTCACTGTGTGTGTAACTGTGTGTGTGTGTGTGTCACTGTGTGTGTCACTGTGTGTGTCACTGTGTGTGTGTGTCACTGTGTGTGTGTCACTGTGTGTGTCACTGTGTGTGTCACTGTGTGTGTGTGTCACTGTGTGTGTGTGTCACTGTGTGTGTGTCACTGTGTGTGTCACTGTGTGTGTCACTGTGTGTGTGTCACTGTGTGTGTCACTGTGTGTGTCACTGTGTGTGTCACTGTGTGTGTGTCACTGTGTGTGTGTCACTGTGTGTGTCACTGTGTGTGTGTCACTGTGTGTCACTGTGTGTCACTTTGTGTGTGTCACTGTGTGTGTGTCACTGTGTGTGTCACTGTGTGTGTCACTGTGTGTGTGTCACTGTGTGTGTCACTGTGTGTGTCACTGTGTGTGTCACTGTGTGTGTGTCACTGTGTGTGTGTCACTGTGTGTGTCACTGTGTGTGTGTGTCACTGTGTGTGTCACTGTGTGTGTGTCACTGTGTGTGTCACTGTGTGTGTGTGTGTCACTGTGTGTGTCACTGTGTGTGTGTCACTGTGTGTCACTGTGTGTGTCACTGTGTGTGTGTCACTGTGTGTGTGTCACTGTGTGTGTCACTGTGTGTGTGTCACTGTGTGTGTGTCACTGTGTGTGTGTGTCACTGTGTGTGTGTCACTGTGTGTGTGTCACTGTGTGTGTCACTGTGTGTGTCACTGTGTGTGTGTGTGTCACTGTGTGTGTGTGTCACTGTGTGTGTCTATCTGTGTGTCTATCTGTGTGTCTATCTGTGTGTGTGTCTATCTGTGTGTGTGTAGATTGTTGACATGCGCTCTGTGCGTGAAGTCATCTCGTGCTTGGAACGTGGACCAATCACGAAAGAAGCCTTGGAGGTGGCAGATTCACACTCACCACTCACTCACCACTCACTCACCACTCACTCACCACTCACTCACCACTCACTCACTCACCACTCACTCACCACTCACTCACCCACTCACTCACCACTCACTCACCACTCACTCACCACTCACTCACCACTCACTCACCACTCACTCACCACTCACTCACCACTCACTCACCACTCACTCACCACTCACTCACCACTCACTCACCACTCACTCACCACTCACTCACCACTCACTCACCACTCACTCACCACTCACTCACCACTCACTCACCACTCACTCACCACTCACTCACCACTCACTCACTCACCACTCACTCACCACTCACTCACCACTCACTCACCACTCACTCACTCACCACTCACTCACTCACCACTCACTCACCACTCACTCACTCACCACTCACTCACTCACCACTCACTCACTCACCACTCACTCACTCACCACTCACTCACCACTCACTCACTCACTCACCACTCACTCACTCACCACTCACTCACTCACCACTCACTCACCACTCACTCACCACTCACTCACCACTCACTCACCACTCACTCACTCACCACTCACTCACTCACCACTCACTCACCACTCACTCACCACTCACTCACCACTCACTCACTCACTCACCACTCACTCACCACTCACTCACCACTCACTCACCACTCACTCACCACTCACTCACCACTCACTCACCACTCACTCACCACTCACTCACCACTCACTCACCACTCACTCACTCACCACTCACTCACCACTCACTCACCACTCACTCACTCACCACTCACTCACTCACCACTCACTCACCACTCACTCACTCACCACTCACTCACTCACCACTCACTCACTCACCACTCACTCACTCACCACTCACTCACTCACCACTCACTCACTCACCACTCACTCACTCACCACTCACTCACTCACTCACCACTCACTCACCACTCACTCACTCACTCACTCACTCACTCACTCACTCACCACTCACTCACTCACTCACTCACTCACTCACTCACTCACCACTCACTCACCACTCACTCACCACTCACTCACCACTCACTCACTCACTCACCACTCACTCACCACTCACTCACCACTCACTCACCACTCACTCACTCACTCACCACTCACTCACCACTCACTCACCACTCACTCACCACTCACTCACCACTCACTCACTCACTCACCACTCACTCACCACTCACTCACCACTCACTCACCACTCACTCACTCACTCACCACTCACTCACCACTCACTCACCACTCACTCACCACTCACTCACTCACTCACCACTCACTCACCACTCACTCACCACTCACTCACCACTCACTCACCACTCACTCACTCACTCACCACTCACTCACCACTCACTCACCACTCACTCACCACTCACTCACCACTCACCACTCACTCACCACTCACTCACCACTCACTCACCACTCACTCACTCACTCACCACTCACTCACCACTCACTCACCACTCACTCACCACTCACTCACTCACTCACCACTCACTCACCACTCACTCACCACTCACTCACCACTCACTCACTCACTCACCACTCACTCACCACTCACTCACCACTCACTCACCACTCACCACTCACTCACTCACCACTCACTCACCACTCACTCACTCACCACTCACTCACCACTCACTCACCACTCACTCACCACTCACTCACCACTCACCACTCACTCACTCACCACTCACTCACCACTCACTCACTCACCACTCACTCACCACTCACTCACCACTCACTCACCACTCACTCACTCACTCACCACTCACTCACCACTCACTCACTCACCACTCACTCACCACTCACTCACCACCCACTCACCACTCACTCACTCACCACTCACTCACCCACTCACTCACCACTCACTCACCACTCACTCACTCACTCACCACTCACTCACTCACCACTCACTCACCCACTCACTCACCACTCACTCACCACTCACTCACTCACTCACCACTCACTCACTCACCCACTCACTCACCACTCACTCACCACTCACTCACTCACTCACCACTCACTCACTCACCACTCACTCACCACTCACTCACCACTCACTCACTCACTCACCACTCACTCACCACTCACTCACCACTCACTCACTCACTCACCACTCACTCACTCACCACTCACTCACCACTCACTCACTCACTCACCACTCACTCACTCACCACTCACTCACCACTCACTCACTCACCACTCACTCACCACTCACTCACCACTCACTCACCACTCACTCACCACTCACTCACCACTCACTCACCACTCACTCACCACTCACTCACCACTCACTCACCACTCACTCACCACTCACTCACTCACCACTCACTCACCACTCACTCACCACTCACTCACCACTCACTCACCACTCACCTCACCTCACTCACCACTCACTCACCACTCACTCACTCACCACTCACTCACCACTCACTCACCACTCACTCACCACTCACTCACCACTCACTCACTCACCACTCACTCACCACTCACTCACCACTCACTCACCACTCACCACTCACTCACTCACCACTCACTCACCACTCACTCACTCACCACTCACTCACCACTCACTCACCACCCACTCACCACTCACTCACTCACCACTCACTCACCCACTCACTCACCACTCACTCACCACTCACTCACTCACTCACCACTCACTCACTCACCACTCACTCACCCACTCACTCACCACTCACTCACCACTCACTCACTCACTCACCACTCACTCACTCACCCACTCACTCACCACTCACTCACCACTCACTCACTCACTCACCACTCACTCACTCACCACTCACTCACCACTCACCACTCACTCACCACTCACTCACCACTCACTCACCACTCACTCACTCACTCACCACTCACTCACTCACCACTCACTCACCACTCACTCACTCACTCACCACTCACTCACTCACCACTCACTCACCACTCACTCACTCACCACTCACTCACCACTCACTCACCACTCACTCACCACTCACTCACCACTCACTCACCACTCACTCACCACTCACTCACCACTCACTCACTCACCACTCACTCACCACTCACTCACCACTCACTCACCACTCACTCACCACTCACTCACCACTCACTCACCACTCACTCACCACTCACTCACCACTCACTCACCACTCACCACTCACTCACCACTCACTCACTCACCACTCACTCACCACTCACTCACTCACTCACCACTCACTCACCACTCACTCACCACTCACTCACCACTCACTCACCACTCACTCACTCACTCACCACTCACCACTCACTCACCACTCACTCACCACTCACTCACCACTCACTCACCACTCACTCACCACTCACTCACCACTCACTCACCACTCACTCACCCACCCACTCACTCACCCACTCACCCACCCACTCACTCACCCACTCACCCACCCACCCACCCACTCACCCACTCACCCACCCACTCACTCACTCACCCACTCACTCACCCACTCACTCACCCACTCACCCACCCACCCACTCACCCACCCACTCACTCACTCATCCACCCACTCACCCACTCACTCACTCACCCACTCACTCACCCACTCACTCACCCACTCACTCATCCACCCACTCACCCACTCACTCACTCACTCACCCACTCACCCACCTACTCACTCACTCACCCACTCACTCACTCACCCACCCCCCCACCCACCCACTCACTCACCCACCCACTCACTCACTCACCCACCCCCCCACCCACCCACCCACCCACTCACTCACCCACTCACCCACCCACTCACTCACCCACCCACTCACTCACTTACCCACCCACCCACTCACCCACCCACCAACCCACCCACCAACCCACTCACCAACCCACCCACCAACCCACTCACCCACCCACCAACCCACCCACCACACTCAAAATCCTCAATAAATAACAAACGCCCGATTCACAATCCTCAATTCATTAACCTCGATCACATCTCTCCCTCGACCCCTCCCCCACCCCCACCCCCACCCCCCCACCCACTCACTCACTCACCCACTCACCCACCCACTCACCCACCCACCCACTCACTCACTCACCCACTCACCCACCCACTCACCCACCCACCCACCCATTCACCCACCCACTCACCACCCACCCACCCACCAACCCACCCACCACACTCAAAATCCTCAATAAATAACAAACGCCCGATTCACAATCCTCAATTCATTAACCTCGATCACATCTCTCCCTCGGCCCCTCCCCCCTCCCCCCCTCCCCCACCCCCTCCCCCCACCCCCTCCCCCTCACCCCCACCCCCCTCCCCCTCCCTCACCCCCACCCACCACCCCCAGGAGACGCGTCTGGGCAAGTTCATCAACGACGTTCGTAAGAGGACCTCCGACGATGAGCTGGCCCGGAGAGCCAAGCGGCTGCTGAGGGGTTGGCAGCGGCTCATCACCACACCCCCCTGCTCGGCCACCGGTGAGCACTTGGACTGCTCCGCCGTGGCCCCACCCTAGCGGCGCTCCGGACCGGTCCACTCTCTCTCTCTCTGTGGGGGTGTGTGGGTGTGTGTGTGGGTGGTGTCTACAGGGGTCGGCGGTGGACTAGTCCATTTAACACCCACCCACCCACCCATCTATACACAGTGGACTAGTCCATTTAACACCCACCCACCCATCTGTACACAGTGGACTAGTCCATTTAACACCCACCCACCCACCTATACACAGTGGACTAGTTCGCTACACACGGTGTGGACTAGTCCATTTAACACCCCCCACCCACCCATCTGTACACAGTGGACTAGTCCATTTAACACCCACCCACCCATCTGTACACAGTGGACTAGTCCATTTAAAACCCCCCCAACCACCCACCCATCTGTACACAGTGGACTAGTCCATTTAAACACCCAACCACCCATCTGTACACAGTGGACTAGTCCACTCTCTCTGTGTGTGTGGGTGTGGGTGTGTGGGTATGTGGGTGTGTGGGTATGTGGGTGTGTGGGTGGTGTGTGTGGGTGGGTGTGTGGGTGGGTGTGTGGGTGGTGTCTATAGGGGTCGGCGGTGGACCGCCACCCACCCATCTGTACACAGTGGACTAGTCCATTTAACACCCACCCACCCATCTGTACACAGTGGACTAGTCCATTTAAACACCCACCCACCCATCTGTACACAGTGGACTAGTCCATTTAAACACCCACCCACACATCTGTACACAGTGGACTAGTCCATTTAAACACCCACCCACCCACCCATCTGTACACAGTGGACTAGTCCATTTAACACCTACCCACCCATCTGTACACAGTGGACTAGTCCATTTAACACCCACCCAACCACCCATCTGTACACAGTGGACTAGTCCATTTAACACCTACCCACCCATCTGTACACATTGGACTAGTCCATTTATAACACCCACCCACCCATCTGTACACAGTGGACTAGTCCATTAAACACCCACCCACCCATCTGTACACAGTGGACTGGTCCATTTAACACCCACCCACCCATCTGTACACAGTGGACTAGTCCATTTAAACACCCACCCACCCATCTGTACACAGTGGACTAGGCCATTTAAACACCCACCCACCCATCTGTACACAGTGGACTAGTCCATTTAACACCCACCCATCTGTACACAGTGGACTAGTCCATTTAAACACCCAACCACCCATCTGTACACAGTGGACTAGTCCATTTAACACCCACCCAACCACCCATCTGTACACAGTGGACTAGTCCATTTTAACACCCACCCATCTGTACACAGTGGACTAGTCCATTTAACACCCACCCACCCATCTGTACACAGTGGACTAGTCCATTTAACACCCACCCATTTGTACACAGTGGACTAGTCCATTTAACACCCACCCATCTGTACACAGTGGACTAGTCCATTTAACACCCACCCACCCCTCTGTACACAGTGGACTAGTCCATTTAAACCCCCCCACCCACCCATCTGTACACAGTGGACTAGTCCATTTAAACACCCAACCACCCATCTGTACACAGTGGACTAGTCCATTTAAACACCCACCCACCCATCTGTACACAGTGGACTAGTCCATTTAAACACCCACCCACCCACCCATCTGTACACAGTGGACTAGTCCATTTAACACCCACCCATCTGTACACAGTGGACTAGTCCATTTAAACACCCACCCACCCATCTGTACACAGTGGACTAGTCCATTTAACACCCAACCACCCATCTGTACACAGTGGACTAGTCCATTTAACACCCACCCATCTGTACACAGTGGACTAGTCCATTTAACACCCACCCATCTGTGCACAGTGAACTAGTCCATTTAAACACCCACCCACCCATCTGTACACAGTGAACTAGTCCATTTAACACCCAACCACCCATCTGTACACAGTGGACTAGTCCACTCTCTCTGTGGGTGTGTGGGTGTGTGGGTGTGTGGGTGGGTGGGTGTGTGGGTATGTGGGTGTGTGGGTGGTGTATGTGTGTGGGTGTGTGGGTGGGTGTGTGGGTGGGTGTGTGGGTGTGTGGGTGGGTGTGTGGGTGGTGTCTACAGGGGTCGGCGGTGGACCGCCACCCACCCATCTATACACAGTGGACTAGTCCATTTAAACCCCCCCCATCTGTACACAGTGGACTAGTCCACTAGACACGGTGTGGACTAGTCCATTTAACACCCCAACCACCCATCTGTACACAGTGGACTAGTCCATTTAACACCCACCCATCTGTACACAGTGGACTAGTCCATTTAACACCCCACCCACCCATCTGTACACAGTGGACTAGTCCATTTAAAACCCAACCACCCATCTGTACACAGTGGACTAGTCCACTAGACACGGTGTGGACTAGTCCATTTAACACCCACCCACCCATCTGTACACAGTGGACTAGTCCATTTAACACCCAACCACCCATCTGTACACAGTGGACTAGTCCATTTAAACACCCACCCACCCATCTGTACACAGTGGACTAGTCCACTCTCTCTGTGGGTGTGTGGGTGGGTGTGTGGGTATGTGGGTGGGTGTGTGGGTGGTGTATGTGTGTGGGTGTGTGTGTGGGTGTGTGGGTGGGTGTGTGTGTGGGTGTGTGGGTGGTGTCTACAGGGGTCGGCGGTGGACTGCCACCCACCCATCTGTACACAGTGGACTAGTCCATTTAACACCCACCCACCCATCTGTACACAGTGGACTAGTCCATTTAAAACCCAACCACCCATCTGTACACAGTGAACTAGTCCATTTAACACCCACCCATCTGTACACAGTGGACTAGTCCACTCTCTGTGTGTGTCTCTCTACAGGGGTCGGCGGTGGACCGCCCCTCTGAGCTCTGTGTACAGGGTGTGGACTGGTCCATTTAAACCCCCCCCCCCACCATCTATACACAGTGGACTAGTCCACTCTCTGTGTGTGGGTGGTGTCTACAGGGGTTGTCGGTGGACCGCCCCTCTGAGCTCTGTGTACAGGGTGTGGACTAGTCCATTTAAACCCCCCCCACCCACCCATCTATACACAGTGGACTAGTCCATTTAAACACCCCCACCCATCTATACACAGTGGACTAGTCTATTTAACACCCACCCACCCATCTATACACAGTGGACTGGTCCATTTAACCCCCCACCCATCTATACACAGTGGACTAGTCCACAACACACGGTGTGGACTAGTCCATTTAACCCTCCCCCCACCCATCTATACACAGTGGACTGGTCCATTTAAACCCCCACCCATCTGTACACAGTGGACTAGTCCATTTAACCCCCCCACCCATCTTTACACAGTGGACTGGTCCATTTAACCCCCCACCCATCTATACACAGTGGACTAGTCCATTTAAACCCCCCCCACCCATCTATACACAGTGGACTGGTCCATTTAAACACCCCCACCCCATCTATACACAGTGGACTAGTCCACTCTCTCTGTGGGTGTGGGTGTGTGGGTGGGTGGTGTCTACAGGGGTCGGCGGTGGACCGCCACCCACCCATCTGTACACAGTGGACTAGTCCATTTAACACCCACCCACCCATCTGTACACAGTGGACTAGTCCATTTAACACCCACCCACCCATCTGTACACAGTGGACTAGTCCCTTTAACCCCCCACCCATATGTACACAGTGGACTAGTCCATTTAAACCCCCCCCACCCATCTATACACAGTGGACTGGTCCATTTAAACACCCCCACCCCATCTATACACAGTGGACTAGTCCACTCTCTCTGTGGGTGTGGGTGTGTGGGTGGGTGGTGTCTACAGGGGTCGGCGGTGGACCGCCACCCACCCATCTGTACACAGTGGACTAGTCCATTTAACACCCACCCACCCATCTGTACACAGTGGACTAGTCCATTTAACACCCACCCACCCATCTGTACACAGTGGACTAGTCCCTTTAACCCCCCACCCATATGTACACAGTGGACTAGTCCACTCTCTGTGTGTGTCTGTCTACAGGGGTCGGCGGTGTACTGCCCCGCTGAGCTCTGTGTACAGGGTGTGGACTGGTCCATTTAAAACCCCCCCACCCATCTGTACACAATGGACTAGTCCATTTAAACACCCCCACCCATCTATACACAGTGGACTAGTCCATTTAAACCCCCCCACCCATCTGTACACAATGGACTAGTCCATTTAAACACCCCCCCACCCACCCACCCATCTATACACAGTGGACTGGTCCATTTAAACACCCCCACCCATCTATACACAGTGGACTGGTCCATTTAAACACCCCCACCCATCTATACACAGTGGACTAGTCCATTTAACTTCCCACCCATCTATACACAGTGGACTAGTCCATTTAACCCTCTCCCCCACCCATCTATACACAGTGGACTAGTCCATTTAACACCCCCACCCATCTGTACACAGTGGACTAGTCCATTTAACCCCCCCCCCCTACCCACCCATCTGTACACAGTGGACTAGTCCATTTAACCCCCCCTCCCCCCCCCACCCATCTATACACAGTGGACTAGTCCATTTAACCCCCCCTCCCCCCACCCATCTATACACAGTGGACTAGTCCATTTAACCCCCACCCATCTATACACAGTGGACTAGTCCATTTAACCCCCACCCATCTATACACAGTGGACTAGTCCACTACATACGGTGTGGACTGGTCCATTTAACCCCCCCCCTTCCCATCTATACACAGTGGACTAGTCCATTTAACCCCCCCTTCCCATCTATACACAGTGGACTAGTCCATTTAACCCTCCCCCCACCCATCTATACACAGTGGACTGGTCCATTTAACCCCCACCCATCTATACACAGTGGACTGGTCCATTTATCCCCCACCCATCTATACACAGTGGACTAGTCCATTTAACCCCTCCACCCATCTATACACAGTGGACTAGTCTATTTAACACCCACCCACCCATCTATACACAGTGGACTGGTCCATTTAACCCCCCCACCCATCTATACATAGTGGACTAGTCCACAACACACGGTGTGGACTAGTCCATTTAAAATCCCCCCCCACCCATCTATACACAGTGGACTAGTCTATTTAACCCCCCCTACCCACCCATCTATACACAGTGGACTAGTCCGCCACGCACGTTGTGGACTGGTCCACTGTGTGTCTACAGAGGGGGTGGTGGACTGCTCCACTGCGCTCCGATTGGACGATTCCTCCCACCCCCCCTTGCCCCTTCCTCTGTTCCACCCCCCCCCCCCCCCCCCCCCCCAGCATCCAATGGGGCTCCGGGAGAGGCGCTGACGTCAGACCGGGGGTCATGTGACCAGAAACGGAAGGCCGAGGCTCCCACCGAGTCCACACCGCCCCCTGCCAAGATGGCGCGGCTGGCGGCGGGGGCGGAGCCTCGGACCGCGAGGGGGGCGGAGCCTCGGACCGCGAGGGGGGCGGAGCCTCGGACGCAGGTGGCGGAGCCTCGGCCCGCGAGGGGGGCGGAGCTTCGGCCCGCGAGGGGGGCGGAGCTTCGGCCCGCGAGGGGGGCGGAGCTTCGGCCCGCGAGGGGGGCGGAGCTTCGGCCCGCGAGGGGGGCGGAGCTTCGGCCCGCGAGGGGGGCGGAGGCTCGACCCCAGGGGGCGGAGCCTCGGCCCCTGAAGCTGGCGGAGTCTCGGCTACAGGGGGCGGAACCTCGGCCTTTTAGGGGGGCGGAGCCTCGGCCGGAAGGGGAGGAGTCTCGACCAGAAGGGGCGGTTCTTAAACCGGATGGGGCGGTTCTTCGACCAGAAGGGGCGGTACCTCGGCCGGAAGGGGCGGAACCTCGGCAGGAAGGGGCGGAACCTCGGCAGGAAGGGGCGGAACCTCGGCAGGAAGGGGCGGAGCCTCGGCCTTTGAGAGGGGCGGAGCCTCGGCCTTCGAGAGGGGCGGAACTTCGGCCTGTGCCGAAAGGGGCGGAGCCTCCTCTCAAGGGGGCGGAGCCTCCCCTTAAGGAGGCGGAGCCTCGCATCGAGGGGGCGGAGCCTCCTCTCGAGGAGGCGGGGCCGTGCCCTAACAAGGACTCGGGGGCAGAGCGAACGCCGAAGAGGGCGGAGCCTTGCGTCGTGAAGGGGGCGGAGCCTTGCATTGCGAAGAGGGCGGAGCCTTGCGTCGCGAAGGGGGCGGAGCCTTGCGTCACGAAGAGGGCGGAGCCTTGTGGCGCGAAGGGGGCGGAGCCTTGCGTCGCGAAGAGGGCGGAGCCTTGCGTCGCGAAGGGGGCGGAGCCTTGCGGGGCGAAGGGGGCGGAGCCGATGAGGGGGGCAGAGCCTGCGGTGGCCAATGGGGTCCCGGCGGCCGAGGCCGCGGGGTTCGTCCCGCCCCTGGGTCCGCTCCGTGGGAACGAGGAGGAGGGGGAGGGGCCGGAGGGGGAGAGGGGGGGGGATGAGGACAGTGGGGTGGGGTTCGCGTCGTCCAATCGGAGGCTGAGGAAATACCGACCACGTGACTACCAGGTGGGTGGGGGAGTGGGTGGGTGGGTGAGTGAGTGGGTGGGTGAGTGAGTGGGTGGGTGAGTGGGTGGGTGGGTGAGTGGGTGGGTGGGTGGGTGAGTGGGTGGGTGGGTGAGTGAGTGAGTGAGTGGGTGGGTGGGTGGGTGAGTGAGTGGGTGGGTGAGTGGTGAGTGAGTGGGTGAGTGAGTGGGTGAGTGGTTGGGTGAGTGGGTGGGTGGGTGGGTGAGTGCGTGGGTGGGTGGGTGGGTGGGTGAGTGGGTGGGTGGGTGGGTGAGTGGGTGGGTGGGTGAGTGAGTGAGTGGGTGAGTGGGTGGGTGAGTGAGTGGGTGGGTGAGTGAGTGGGTGAGTGAGTGGGTGGGTGGGTGAGTGGGTGGGTGAGTGGGTGAGTGGGTGGGTGAGTGGGTGGGTGGGTGAGTGGGTGGGTGGGTGAGTGGGTGAGTGAGCGGGTGAGTGAGTGAGTGAGTGAGTGGGTGGGTGAGTGAGTGGGTGAGTGAGTGGGTGAGTGAGTGGGTGAGTGAGTGAGTGGGTGGGTGGGTGAGTGAGTGGGTGAGTGAGTGGGTGAGTTAGTGAGTGAGTGAGTGGGTGAGTGGGTGAGTGGGTGGGTGAGTGGGTGGGTGAGTGGGTGAGTGGGTGGGTGAGTTAGTGGGTGAGTGAGTGGGTGAGTTATTGAGTGAGTGAGTGGGTGAGTGGATGAGTGAGTGAGTGGGTGGGTGAGTGGGTGGGTGGGTGAGTGAGTGGGTGAGTGGGTGGGTGGGTGAGTGGGTGGGTGAGTGGGTGAGTGAGTGAGTGGGTGGGTGAGTTAGTGGGTGAGTGAGTGGGTGAGTTAGTGAGTGAGTGAGTGAGTGGGTGAGTGGGTGAGTGAGTGAGTGGGTGGGTGAGTGGGTGGGTGGGTGGGTGGGTGAGTGGGTGGGTGGGTGGGTGAGTGAGTGAGTGAGTGGGTGGGTGGGTGGGTGAGTGAGTGGGTGGGTGAGTGGTGAGTGAGTGGGTGAGTGAGTGGGTGAGTGGTTGGGTGAGTGGGTGGGTGGGTGGGTGGGTGAGTGGGTGGGTGGGTGGGTGAGTGGGTGGGTGGGTGGGTGAGTGGGTGGGTGGGTGAGTGAGTGAGTGGGTGAGTGGGTGGGTGAGTGGGTGAGTGAGTGGGTGAGTGAGCGGGTGAGTGAGTGAGTGGGTGGGTGAGTGAGTGGGTGAGTGAGTGGGTGAGTGAGTGGGTGGGTGGGTGAGTGAGTGGGTGAGTGAGTGGGTGAGTTAGTGAGTGAGTGAGTGAGTGGGTGAGTGGGTGGGTGAGTGGGTGGGTGAGTGGGTGAGTGGGTGGGTGAGTTAGTGGGTGAGTGAGTGGGTGAGTTATTGAGTGAGTGAGTGGGTGAGTGGGTGAGTGAGTGAGTGGGTGGGTGAGTGGGTGGGTGGGTGAGTGAGTGGGTGAGTGGGTGGGTGGGTGAGTGGGTGGGTGAGTGGGTGAGTGAGTGAGTGGGTGGGTGAGTTAGTGGGTGAGTGAGTGGGTGAGTTAGTGAGTGAGTGAGTGGGTGAGTGGGTGAGTGAGTGAGTGGGTGGGTGAGTGGGTGGGTGGGTGGGTGAGTGGGTGGGTGGGTGGGTGAGTGGGTGGGTGGGTGGGTGAGTGAGTGAGTGAGTGGGTGGGTGGGTGGGTGAGTGAGTGGTTGGGTGAGTGGTGAGTGAGTGGGTGAGTGAGTGGGTGAGTGGTTGGGTGAGTGGGTGGGTGGGTGAGTGGGTGGGTGGGTGGGTGAGTGGGTGGGTGGGTGAGTGGGTGGGTGGGTGAGTGGGTGGGTGGGTGAGTGGGTGGGTGGGTGGGTGGGTGGGTGAGTGGGTGGGTGGGTGGGTGAGTGAGTGAGTGGGTGAGTGGGTGGGTGAGTGAGTGAGTGGGTGGGTGAGTGGGTGAGTGAGTGGGTGAGTGAGTGGGTGAGTGAGTGAGTGGGTGAGTGAGTGGGTGAGTGGGTGGGTGAGTGGGTGAGTGGGTGGGTGAGTGGGTGGGTGAGTGGGTGGGTGGGTGAGTGGGTGAGTGAGTGGGTGAGTGAGTGAGTGAGTGGGTGGGTGAGTGAGTGGGTGAGTGGGTGAGTTAGTGAGTGAGTGAGTGGGTGAGTGGGTGAGTGAGTGGGTGAGTGGGTGAGTGGGTGGGTGGGTGGGTGAGTGGGTGAGTGAGTGGGTGAGTGGGTGAGTGAGTGGGTGGGTGGGTGAGTGGGTGGGTGATTGGGTGGGTGGGTGAGTGGGTGAGTGAGTGGGTGAGTGAGTGAGTGGGTGGGTGAGTGGGTGAGTGAGTGAGTGGGTGAGTGAGTGAGTGGGTGGGTGAGTGAGTGGGTGAGTGAGTGAGTGGGTGAGTGGGTGAGTGAGTGGGTGAGTGAGTGAGTGAGTGGGTGGGTGAGTGAGTGAGTGGGTGAGTGGGTGGATGAGTGGGTGAGTGAGTGGGTGGGTGAGTGGGTGGGTGAGTGAGTAGTGGGTGGGTGAGTAGTGGGTTAGTGTGAGTGAGTGAGTGGGTGAGTGGGTGAGTGAGTGGGTGAGTGGGTGAGCGAGTGAGTGAGTGAGTGAGTGGGTGGGGGTTGAGTGAGTGGGTGAGTGAGTGAGGGGGTGAGTGAGTGAGTGAGTGTCTGAGTGAGTGGGTGAGTGAGTGAGTGGGTGAGTGAGTGAGTGGGGGTGAGTGAGTGGGTGGGTGAGTGAGTAAGTGAGTGTGTGGGTGAGTGATTGAGTGAGTGGGTGAGTGAGTGAGTGGGTGAGTGAGTGTCTGAGTGAGTGGGTGAGTGAGTGAGTGGGTGAGTGAGTGTGTGAGTGTGTGAGTGAGTGAGTGGGTGAGTGAGTGAGTGGATGAGTGAGTGAGTGGGTGAGTGAGTGAGTGAGTGAGTGGGTGAGTGAGTGAGTGAGTGGGTGAGTGAGTGGTTGGGTGAGTGAGTGACTGAGTGTGTGGGTGAGTCAGTGGGTGAGCAAGTGAGTGGGTGAGTGAGTGAGTGGGTGAGTGAGTGAGTGGGTGGGGGGGTGGGTGGGTGAGTGAGCGAGCGAGTGAGTGAGTGAGTGGGTGGGGGGTGAGTGTACCATATGGATATTCCCCCGGTACAGCTATTGAAGGCTTCACGAGCTACGTGGTCGAAATAGATGTTAAATAATGTGGGAGCCAGAGGACATCCCTGTCGCACCCCAAGGTGTACAGGGAATGGCTCCGACTCCCGGCCACGTAGTTTTACCCGGGCCCGCTCACAATCATGAAGGGCCTTAATGATCGTGAGCAGAGGGACTCCGAAAGCATGAATAACAACCCAGAGCCCAGGCCTACTGATGGTATCATAGGCCTTGACCAGGTCAATAAAGCAGAGATGTAGGTCTTGCTGGAATTCCCTACACCTCTGCTGTAGCAGAGGGACAAAAAATATGGCATCTGTGCAGGACCGCCCTTTCCTGAAACCGCATTGGGGCTCCGCAAGCCTCTCCTCAGCGTGCCTGGCAAGTCGATGCTGAATAATCCTTGCCAGGACCTTTCCCGGCACACTGAGTAGTGAGATGCCCCTGTAGTTGTTACAGTCTGTGCGGTCCCCCTTCTTAAAGAGGGGGACCACCAGGGCATCCTTCCAATCCTGCGGAACCCGTCCAGTGGTCCAGACTGTTGTTATGATGTCATATAGGGCAGTCTGTGCACAAACGCCACCCTCCCTCAGCATTTCGCTTGGGAGATCATCTCTGCCCGCTGCCTTTCCTGGTCTCAGACTCCGGATCGCCTTCAATACTTCCTCAACAGATGGCACCTCCGCCAGCCACTCACAGGGGGTGACTTCTTCCAATATTTGAGGCACCGCAGCCTCAGCAGGGTCATCCTCACTTTGTGCCACGATGTTTTCCTGGCTGAGGGATTTTCCCTCCCCCAGGACCTCACAGAAATGCTCAGCAAATCTGCAAACCTGTTCCTGGGGGTCGGAGATTGGGTCACCGTTTTTTCCCCTAATGATGGTAATAGGTGTGGCACTGCAGGTTACTTTTTTCATGGAGTTAAAGAGCGATTTGTGATCGCGGGCCATTGAGGCAGACTCCGTCTCTTCAGAAACCCGCGACCACCACCCATCCTTGCAACGCCGATGAACACCTCCTCTGTCAGCGAGGGTCTCTGGGGAGGTCTGGACCGCGTACCCAAAGCAGCCATTGCAGCTGCATGAGTCACAGTCCTAAACCTCGCCCATTTACCCTCGACATCAGGAGGAGTGGGGGACGATGCCAATCCCAGCCGCAAGCGATGATGAAATTCTCGCTTGCAACTTTCATCAGCTAGCTGAGACCAGGCCACTTTAGGTTGGAAGGGGGTCCTGGGTGTACACCCACCACCGGAGTGGAAGAATGGCAGGCGCATCTTACAGATGACAAGTCGATGGTCAGAGGGCAGATCAGCTCCACGGTAGGTCCTGGTGTCAAGGACATGGGCTCGCATCCCCTGGTCCGTCACTATGTAGTCCAGCAGATGTTCTTGCTTGGACCCGGCATGCATCCATGATGTTGTGTGGATGCGCCGATGCCGGAACAGCGTGTTGGTAATTACAAGCCCATGGGCTGCACAAAAATCTAGCAGCCTCCTACCGTTGTTATTGAGCTGATCTGGCCCATGCCCTCCAATCACTCCAGACCAGGTGCCAGTATCATGATCAACTCGGGCATTGAAGTCACCCAACATGATGACTCTATCCCGAGGGGCCACTTTAGCCAGCACCTGTGACAGGAGGTCATAGAAGGCATCTGACTCATCGGCCTTGCCTGCATCCCTCCACGGATGTTCGTCTTCGGTGGGGGCATAAGTAACCACGACCACCACTCCTCGCCTCCGGTTGATGGGAAGGCGAGCCCAAAGTAGCCTGGGGCTTACAGCTTCCCACACCTCACCGCCACGCTCCCACGCCCCCTTCATTATTTTGTTGGCAGTCTGCTGCCCCGAGTAGAGGACTGTCCACCCCTCATGGTGGCAGGAGCCAGAGCCGGTCCCCCGGACCTCCTGAATGCCGCAGAGATCCAGGCGGTACCGGTCCAGCTCCCGACAGAGGAGTGGCAGCCTCTCCTCCGCAGTGAGCGTTCGAACATTCCACGTGGCCACACGAAGTGGCTTTTGGTTGTTTCTGGAGGAGCCCCGAGGGTGGAGATTCAATCTCCTGGCTCCGCCAATTGGGGTTTGGCCAGGAGACGTCATAGACGCCTGTCCCCCCGGGGCCTCCGGCACAAGCTTATTAGTTACATATTTCAGTTTAACTCGTGGTTTAGTGGTAATGAATTGAAGGTGGAGGGGTTACCAGCCCCTCGCACCCGTCCAGAGCCCCCGTTTAGCCCCTGTGGTGGAGACAGACGCCATGAGGGGAGGAGCCAATCGGAATTGGCTCCTCCCCCCACAGCATTGTCCACGACAGAGTTGCCCGTCCGGCACCGCGAGGAGGTAGGGGGTTGTTTTGCCGGACCACCATCACCACCATCACCATCACCACCATCACCATCATCACCATCACCACCACCACCATCACCACCACCATCACAACCATCACCACCACCATCACCACCATCACCACCATCATCACCACCATCACCATCATCACCACCATCACCACCACCATCACCACCATCACCACCATCACCATCATCACCACCATCACCATCATCACCACCATCACCATCACCACCATCACCACCACCACCATCACCACCATCACAGCCACCATCACCACCACCATCACCACCACCATCACCACCACCATCACCACCACCATCACCATCATCACCACCATCACCACCACCATCACCACCACCACCACCATCGCCACCACCACCACCATCACCACCACCATCACCACCACCACCACCATCACCACCATCACCACCATCACCACCACCATCACCACCATCACCACCACCATCACCACCACCACCACCACCATCACCACCACCATCACCACCATCACCACCACCACCACCACAATGACCACCATCACCACCATCACCACCATCACCACCATCACCACCACCACCACCAACCTCTCTCTCTCTCTCCCCGTGCAGGTGAATCTGGAAGGATCTGTGTTGGAGTGTAACCCGTCCACCAAGCCAGTGAGGTTAAAGGAGCGTAAGATCACGTTTGACCCCATCACGGGGCGGATCGTGAGCACTCCTCACAAGAACCACGGTGGTGGTGGTGGTGGTGGTGGCGGTGATGGCGGTGATGGCGGTGGTGGTGGTGGTGGTGCCGATGACAACGACGTGGTGAAGGCATCACTGGACGGACGAGGTGAGGAGGTGGAGGTGGTGGTGGTGATGGTTGTGGTGGTGATGGTTGTGGTGGTGATGGTGGTGGTGATGGTGGTGGTGATGATGGTGGTGGTGGTGATGATGGTGGTGATGGTTGTGGTGGTGATGGTGGTGGTTGTGGTGGTGATGGTTGTGGTGGTGATGGTGGTGGTGATGGTGGTGGTGGTGATGATGGTGGTGGTGGTGATGATGGTGGTGATGGTGGTGGTGATGATGGTGGTGGTGGTGATGATGGTGGTGATGGTGGTGATGGTGGTGGTGATGGTGGTGGTGGTGGTGATGGTGGTGGTGGTTGTGGTGGTGGAGGTGGTGGTAGTGATGATGGTGGTGGTGGTGGTGATGGTGGTGATGGTGGTTGTGGTGATGGTGGTGGTGGTGATGGTGGTTGTGGTGGTGATGGTGGTTGTGGTGGTGGTGATTTGTGGTGATGGTGGTGGTGGTGATGATGGTGGTGATGGTGGTGGTAGTCATTGTGGTGGTGGTGATGGTGGTGATTGTGGTGATGTCTCTCTGTCTCTCTCTCTCCATCTCTCTCTACCCATCTCTCTCTCCATCTCCATCTCTCTCTCCATCTCTCTCTCTCCATCTCTCTCTCCATCTCTCTCCATCTCTCTCTCTCCATCTCTCTCCATCTCTCTCCATCTCTCTCTCCATCTCTCTCCATCTCTCTCTCTCCATTTCTCTCCATCTCTCTCCATCTCTCTCTCCATCTCTCTCCATCTCTCTCCATCTCTATCTCTCTCTCCATCTCTCTCTCTCTCTCCATCTCTCCCCATCTCTCTCCATCTCTCTCCATCTCTCTCTCTCCATCTCTCCATCTCTCTCTCTCCATCTCTCTACATCTCTCTCTCTATCTCTCTCCATCTCTCTCCATCTCTCTCTCTCCATCTCTCTCTCTCCATCTCTCTCTCTAAATCTCTCTCTCTCTCCCTCTCTCTCCATCTCTCTCCATCTCTCTCTCCATCTCTCTCCCTCTCTCTCCATCTCTCTCCATCTCTCTCTCCATCTCTCTCCATCTCTCTCTCTCCATCTCTCTCTCTCCATCTCTCTCTCTCCATCTCTCTCCATCCCTCTCTCCCAATCTCTCTCTCCATCTCTCTCCATCTCTCTCTCTCCATCTCTCTCCATCTCTCTCCATCTCTCTCCATCTCTCTCCATCTCTCTCTCTCCATTTCTCTCCATCTCTCTCCATCTCTCTCTCCATCTCTCTCCATCTCTCTCTCCATCTCTCTCCATCTCTCTCCATCTCTCTCTCCATCTCTCTCTCTCTCCATCTCTCCCCATCTCTCTCCATCTCTCTCCATCTCTCTCTCTCCATCTCTCCATCTCTCTCTCTCCATCTCTCTACATCTCTCTCTCTATCTCTCTCCATCTCTCTCCATCTCTCTCTCTCCATCTCTCTCTCTCCATCTCTCTCTCTTCATCTCTCTCTCTCTCCATCTCTCTCCATCTCTCTCCATCTCTCTCTCCATCTCTCTCCATCTCTCTCCATCTCTCTCCATTTCTCTCTCTTCATCTCTCTCCATCTCTCTCCATCTCTTTCTCTCCATCTCTCGCTCTCCATCTCTCTCTCTCCATCTCTCTCTCTCCATCTCTCTCCATCTCTCTCTCTCCATCTCTCTCTCCATCTCTCTCCATCTCTCTCTCTCTCACCATCTCTCTCCATCTCTCTCCATCTCTCTCCATCTCTCTCTCTCCATCTCTCTCCATCTCTCTCCATCTCTCTCCATCTCTCTCTCTCCATCTCTCTCCATCTCTCTCCATCTCTCTCTCCATCTCTCTCCATCTCTCTCTCTCCATCTCTCTCTCTCCATCTCTCTCTCCATCTCTCTCCATCTCTCTCTCTCCATCTCTCTCTCCATCTCTCTCCATCTCTCTCTCTCTCACCATCTCTCTCCATCTCTCCATCTCTCTCCATCTCTCTCCATCTCTCTCTCTCCATCTCTCTCCATCTCTCTCCATCTCTCTCCATCTCTCTCTCCATCTCTCTCCATCTCTCTCTCTCACCATCTCTCTCCATCTCTCTCCATCTCTCTCCATCTCTCTCTCTCTCTCGATCGCTCTCTCCATCTCTCTCTCTCTCTCCATCTCTCTCTCCATCTCTCTCCATCTCTCTCCATCTCTCTCTCTCCATCTCTCTCTCCATCTCTCTCCATCTCTCTCTCTCCATCTCTCTCCATCTCTCTCTCTCTATCTCTCTCCATCTCTCTCTCCATCTCTCTCCATCTCTCTCCATCTCTCTCTCTCTCCATCTCTCTCTCTCCATCTCTCTCCATCTCTCTCCATCTCTCTCCATCTCTCTCTCTCCATCTCTCTCTCTCCATCTCTCTCTCCATCTCTCTCCATCTCTCTCTCCATCTCTCCCCATCTCTCTCCATCTCTCTCCATCTCTCTCTCTCCATCTCTCCATCTCTCTCTCTCCATCTCTCTACATCTCTCTCTCTATCTCTCTCCATCTCTCTCCATCTCTCTCTCTCCATCTCTCTCTCTCCATCTCTCTCTCTCCATCTCTCTCTCTCTCCATCTCTCTCCATCTCTCTCCATCTCTCTCTCCATCTCTCTCCATCTCTCTCCATCTCTCTCCATCTCTCTCTCCATCTCTCTCCATCTCTCTCTCCATCTCTCTCCATCTCTCTCTCTCCATCTCTCTCTCTCCATCTCTCTCTCTCCATCTCTCTCCATCTCTCTCTCTCCATCTCTCTCTCCATCTCTCTCCATCTCTCTCTCTCTCTCCATCTCTCTCCATCTCTCTCCATCTCTCTCCATCTCTCTCTCTCCATCTCTCTCCATCTCTCTCCATCTCTCTCCATCTCTCTCTCTCCATCTCTCTCCATCTCTCTCCATCTCTCTCTCCATCTCTCTCCATCTCTCTCTCTCCATCTCTCTCTCTCCATCTCTCTCTCCATCTCTCTCCATCTCTCTCTCTCCATCTCTCTCTCCATCTCTCTCCATCTCTCTCTCTCTCACCATCTCTCTCCATCTCTCCATCTCTCTCCATCTCTCTCCATCTCTCTCTCTCCATCTCTCTCCATCTCTCTCCATCTCTCTCCATCTCTCTACATCTCACTCCATCTCTCTCCATCTCTCTCTCTCACCATCTCTCTCCATCTCTCTCCATCTCTCTCCATCTCTCTCTCTCTCTCCATCTCTCTCTCCATCTCTCTCTCTCTCTCCATCTCTCTCTCCATCTCTCTCCATCTCTCTCCATCTCTCTCTCTCCATCTCTCTCTCCATCTCTCTCCATCTCTCTCTCTCCATCTCTCTCCATCTCTCTCTCTCCATCTCTCTCCATCTCTCTCTCCATCTCACTCCATCTCTCTCCATCTCTCTCTCTCCATCTCTCTCTCTCCATCTCTCTCCATCTCTCTCCATCTCTCTCCATCTCTCTCTCTCCATCTCTCTCTCTCCATCTCTCTCTCCATCTCTCTCCATCTCTCTCTCTCCATCTCTCTCTCTCCATCTCTCTCTCTCCATCTCTCTCCATCTCTCTCCCAATCACCACCACCAACAGGGCCACAGCACAAGCGTCTGAACCGCCGGAACCAGCAACAGCAATCGCCGCCACCATCGCCACCGCCCCACCACACACCCGACAACCACCACCACCACCACTCACCGCAGAGGCTTGCCGACTCTCAGCCGGAACCGTCAGCTCCTCCTCCGCCTCCTCGTCATCCCCATCACCGTCTCTCGCACCATCCACCGCAACATTCGCCCCAACATCCACCGCAGCATCTTCCGCATCCGCAGCAGCATCATCCGTCGCCCCAACATCCGCCGCAGCATCTTCCGCAGCAGCAGCATCATCATCATCATCTATCGCACCAACATCCGCCGCAGCATCTTCCGCATCCGCATCCGCATCATCATCATTTATCGCCCCAACATCCACCGCAGCATCTTCCGCATCCACATCACCATCTCTCGCACCACCATCCACCGCAGCATCTTCCGCAGCATCCTCCGCCGTCGCCGCCGTCGCCGCCGGCGGCAGCCGCGGCCAGGCCTGGCCGCGGCCGCCCCCCTAAGGGCGGCCGCCGCGAGTGGAGCGTCGCGAGCGTCGCCTCGAGCGAGATCGTCCGCCGCTACCTCAGCCGCCAGAGCAGTCTCCTGTCGTCCTCGGGCATCGACTCGCCGCTCCTCGCCGCTGTAGCGGCAGCGGCGGCAGCGGCGGCAGCGGCCGCGGCCACCGGCGGAGGCCGAGGGGGCGGCCGAGGGGGCGGCCGAGGGGGCGGCCGAGGGGGCGGCCGAGGGGACGCCGGCACGGCAGCCGCGGCCGCGGCCGCGGCCGCGGGAGTCCGCAAGGAGCTCCTCGTCATCGACGTGGAGTCTTCGGAGGAGGAGGAGGAGGAGTGGGAGGAGGAGGAGGAGGAGGAGGAGGAGGAGGAGTCGGAGGAGGAGTCCTGCTCATCCTCCTGCTCCGACGACGAGGAGCGGGGGTGCGAGGAGGGGGCCGGAGGCGGTCGGCCGCCGCAGCGTGGTCCGCGGGCGGGGGGAGCAGGTGGGGTCTGCGGGGGGCGGGGGCGGGGGCGGGGGCGGGGGCGGGGGCGAGGGAGGGCGAGAGACGGAGACGCCCCGCCGGCTAAGAAGAGCGAGCCGGAGGAGCCGGAGGAGCCGGAGGAGCCGGAGGAGCCGGTGAAGACGCCGGTGAAGACGCCGACGCAGGAGATGAAGACGCTGACGCCGGAGGATGACGAGGAGGAGGAGGAGGAGGAGGAGCTGAAGATGAAGGTGAAGACGCTGATGACACCGGAGCAGCAGCAGCAGCGGGAGAAGGAGGAGAAGGCTGCGGAAAAGGCTGCGGTGGCGACGGAGCAGCAGCAGCAGCAGGCTGCGGAAAAGGCTGCGGTGGCGGTGGTGACGGAGGAGCAGCAGCAGCGGGAGAAGGAGAAGGCTGCGGAAAAGGCTGCGGTGGTGGCGGTGACGGAGCAGCAGCAGCAGCAGCAGGAGGAGGAGAAGGAGGAGAAGAAGGCTGCGGAAAAGGCTGCGGTGGCGGTGACGGAGCAGGAGCAGCAGCAGGAGGAGGAGGAGAAGGAGGAGAAGAAGGCTGCGGAAAAGGCTGCGGTGGCGGTGACGGAGCAGGAGCAGCAGCAGCAGCAGGAGGAGGAGAAGGCTGCGGAAAAGGCTGCGGTGGCGAAGGAGGAGCAGCAGGAGCAGCAGCAGCAGCAGCAGACGCAGCAGAGGAGGAGGAGGAAACGCGGCAGGCGGTGGCGGAGGAGGACGCGCGGCAGGCGGAGACGGAGGTCGGGCGAGGACGAGCAGCAGGATGATGAGGAGGAGGATGAGCAGGATGAGGATGAGCATGAGCATGAGCAGCAGGATGAGGATGGGGAGTGGGGGGTGAGCGAGGGGGCGCTGAGGCGCCTGTCGACGGGCCGCTGGCGTGGGGTGAACGGCTGCCGCGACACGGCCGGGCGCTGGCACTCGTGGACGGACGCCATCGCCCTGGACCCTCACGGCGATGGGGCGCCCAGCCTGCACGTGCTGCCTTACGTGTGCCTCGACTGACGTCGCGGTGGTGGTGGTGGTCACGTGGTGGTGGTGGTGGTCACGTGGTGGTGGTGGTGGTCACGTGGTGGTCACATGGTGGTGGTGGTGGTCACATGGTGGTGGCGGTGGTCACGTGGTGGTGGTGGTGGTGGTAGTGGTGGTGGTGGTGGTGGTGGTCACGTGGTGGTGGTGGTCACGTGGTGGTGGTGGTGGTCACGTGGTGGTGGTGGTGGTGGTGGTCACGTGGTGGTGGTCACGTGGTGGTGGTGGTGGTGGTGGTCACGTGGTGGTGGTGGTCACATGGTGGCGGTGGTGGTGGTGGTCACGTGGTGGTGGTGGTGGTGGTCACGTGGTGGTGGTCACGTGGTGGTGGTGGTGGTGGTGGTCACGTGGTGGTGGTGGCGGTGGTGGTGGTCACGTGGTGGTGGTGGCGGTGGTCACGTGGTGGTGGTCACGTGGTGGTGGTGGTGGTCACGTGGTGGTGGTGGCGGTGGTCACGTGGTGGTGGTCACGTGGTGGTGGTGGTGGTGGTGGTCACGTGGTGGTGGTGGCGGTGGTCACGTGGTGGTGGTCACGTGGTGGTGGTGGTGGTGACGTGGTGGTGGTGGAGGTGACGTGGTGGTGGTGGTGGTGGTCACGTGGTGGTGGTGACGTGGTGGTGGTGGTGGTGACGTGGTGGTGGTGGTGGTGGTGACGTGGTGGTGGTGGAGGTGACGTGGTGGTGGTGGAGGTGACGTGGTGGTGGTGGTGGTGACGTGGTGGTGGTGACGTGGTGGTGGTGGTGGTGGTGACGTGGTGGTGGTGGAGGTGACGTGGTGGTGGTGGTGGTGGTGACGTGGTGGTGGTGGTGGTGGTGACGTGGTGGTGGTGGTGACGGTGGTGACGTGGTGGTGGTGACGTGGTGGTGGTGGTGGTGGTGACGTGGTGGTGGTGGTGACGTGGTGGTGGTGGTGGTGACGTGGTGGTGGTGGTGGTGTAAACACGGAGTCGGTGGTGGCGAGGGGAGACGTTGTTGTTGTTGACAGGAGACACACGGCATCATCGTTGATTGGCTATCGATTGACTATCGATTGGTTATTGATTGCTTGTCGATTGACGATTGGTGATGCTTGTCGATTGGTATTTGATTGACTATTGATTGGCTATCGATTGGTTGTCGATTGGTTATTGATTGGTTGTCGATTGGTTATTGATTGGTTGTCGATTGGTTATTGATTGGTTGCCGATTGATGACTATCGATTGATTTATCGATTGGGTATTGACTGGTTGTCGATTGATGAACGCCGATTCGTTGTCGATTGGACGTCGATTGGTTATCGATTGGTTATCGATTATCGATAGAAAGTCGATTGATTGTTGATCGGTGGTCGATTCGTTATCGATTAATGACCTTTTTTTGCGTGTTAATAATCTTAACCCTGCCACGACCCCAATTAATCTATACCGCAATCACCATCATCACTACCATCATCACCATCATCACTAGCATCATCACTACCATCACTACCACCATCATCACTAGCATCACTACCACCATCATCACTACCATCACTACCACCATCACTACCATCACCCTACCATCACTACCACCATCACTAGCATCATCACTAGCATCATCACTAGCATCACTACCACCATCACTAGCATCATCACTACTATCACTACCACAACTATCATCACTACCATCACCATCATCACTACCACCATCACTACCACCATCATCACCACCACCATCACTACCACCATCATTACCATCATCACTACCATCACTACCACCATCACTACCACTAGCATCATCACTACCATCACCACCACTAGCATCATCACTACCACCATCACTACCATCACTACCATCATCACTACCATCACAACCATCATCACTACCGCCATCACTGCCATCACGATCATCACCATCGTCACCATCACTACCATCACTACCACTACCTTCATCACCACCATCACTGCCATCATCACTACCACCATCACTGCCATCACTATCATCACTACCATCATCACTACTATCATCACCATGATTACCATTATCACCATCACTACCACCATCACTACTATCATCACTAGCACCATCACTACCATCACCATCATCACCATCACTACCATCATCACTACCATCACTACCATCATCACTACCATCACTACCCTCATCACCATCACTACCATCATCACCATCACTACCATCATCATCATCACTACCATCACCATCATCACTATCACCATCACTACAATCATCACCATCACTACCATCATCACCATCACTACAATCATCACCATCACTACAATCACCACCATCACTACCATCATCACTACCACCATCACTATCATCACCATTACGGCCGTCATCACTACCATCACTACCACTACCATCATCACCATCACTACCATCATCACCATCACTACTATCACCATCACTATTATCATCACCATCACTACCATCATCACTACCACCATCACTACCATCACCATCATCACTACCACCACCATCGCTACCATCACTACCATCACAATCATCACCATCAATACTATCATCACCATCACTACTATCATCATCACCATCACTACTATCATCATCACCATCACTACCATCATCATCATCACTCCCCACCATCACCACCACCATCACTACCTCCATCACCACCACCATCACCTCCACCACCATCACTACCATCATCACCACCACCATCACCTCTTCGCTTCGTATTACCATATGATTATAATTGTTATTTAAGATTCTCAACTCTCACACTCTCACCCGTTTGGTAAGCGTTAAGCGGAGAACTACTTTATTAAAGTATATATTTAAACAGTTATCCAAGTTTTATTTATCATCAACATTACCATCGAAATTATCATCAACATCATCGCCACCAACATCACCACTACCACCACCACTACCACCATCACTACCACCACCACTACCACCATCACTACCACCACCTTCACCACCACCATCACCACCATCATCACCACCACTACCACCATCGTCACCAACATCACCACCATCACCACCACCATCACCACCACAACCAGTCTTTGTGAGGCCTGCCGTAGACTTCGTCGAGCCTAGCGCAGGTTTCGCGAGGCCTAGCGCAGGCTTTGCTAGGCATAGCGCAGGGTTCGCGAGGCCTAGGCCTACCGCAAGCTTCGCGAGGCCTAGCGCAGGCTCTGCGAGGCCTAGCGCAGGCTTTGCTAGGCCTAGCGCAGGGTTCGCGAGGCCTACCGCAAGCTTCGCGAGGCCTAGCGCAGGCTCTGCGAGGCCTAGCGCAGGCTTTGCTAGGCCTAACGCAGGGTTCGCGAGGCCTAGGCCTAGTGCAGGCTTCGCGAGGCCTAGCGCAGGGCCTAGTGTAGGCTTCGCGAGGCCTAGCGCAGGCTTCGCGAGGCCTAGCGCAGGCTTCGCGAGGCCTAGCGTAGGGCCTAGTGTAGGCTTCACGAGGCCTAGCGTAGGCTTCGCGAGGCCCTCCGCGTGTCGACTCCTCGCGGCGAGAGACTCCCTCTCGATCGGATAGAGACTGATGTTGATATTGTTGTCGTTGCTTCAAGAACATAGGGCGATATTTATAATTTAACGATGTTTTTTCTACACTATTCTCTCCTCCCAGCACCACCCCCGATGCTCGTTAATTCTACTACTTTGGCAGGGGCCTAAGGCTTTGTTTGCTATGCCTCGGTGTGTAAGGCATTGCGAGGGCCGTACTGTTGGCTTCCCGCGAAGGTCGAGCGCAGACTTTTTTTTAGGCCTGCCGAGGGCTTTGTGAGGCCTACCGAGGGCTTTGTGAGGCCTACCGAAGGCTTTGTGAGGCCTGCCAAAGGCTTTTGAGACTTCCCCTTCCCCTGCCTCGCCCCCTACTGAATGTTGCAGTCTCGTGGAGGCTCTTGCAAGGCTTAGTTGAAGGCTTTGCGAGCCCCACTGACGATTTTTTTTAATACCTTACGGAAGGCGGAAGCCTCCTTAGTGCGGGGTTTTTGTGAGGCCTGCCGAAGGCCGACGCCTAGTTCAGAGGCTTCGTGAGGCCTGCTGAAGGCTTTTTGTTTTTTTTTCCCCGCCCAGGCCTACCAGTGAACTTCGTTAGGCCCACTTTAGACGGCTTATTTGAGGCCTGGCGGAGGCTTTGTGAGGCCTACCGAAGGCTTCCCCCTCCCAGGTTCTACCGGTGACATTCGTGAGGCTCGTTTGAGGCCTGGCGGAGGCTTTGTGAGGCCTACCGAAGGCTTCCCCCTCCCGGGTTCTACCGGTGACCTTCGTGAGGCTCGTTTGAGGCCTGGCGCAGGCTGTGTGAGGCCTACCGAAGGCTTCCCCTCCCGGGATCTACCAGTGACCTTCGTGAGGCTCGTTTGAGGCCTGGCGCAGGCTTTGTGAGGCCTACCGAAGGCTTCCCCTCCCAGGTTCTACCGGTGACCTTCGTGAGGCACGTTTGAGGCCTGGCGGAGGCTTTGTGAGGCCTACCGAAGGCTTCCCCTCCCAGGTTCTACCGGTGACCTTCGTGAGGCACGTTTGAGGCCTGGCGGAGGCTTTGTGAGGCCTACCGAAGGCTTCCCCTCCCTGGATCTACCGGTGACCTTCGTGAGGCTCGTTTGAGGCCTGGTGCAGGCTTTGTGAGGCCTACCGAAGGCTTCCCCTCCCAGGTTCTACCAGTGACCTTCGTGAGGCTCGTTTGAGGCCTGGCGCAGGCTTTGTGAGGCCTACCGAAGGCTTCCCCTCCCAGGTTCTACTGGTGACCTTCGTGAGGCTCGTTTGAGGCCTGCCGGAGGCTTCTTTTTTTTACCCCGCCCAGGCCTTACCGGTAGCCTTCCGGTGGCCTTCGTGAGGCCCAATTTTGAAGGCTTATTTGGGGCCTAGCGCAGGCTTTGTGAGGCCTACCGAAGGCTTCCCCTCCCAGGTTCTACCGGTGACCTTCGTGAGGCTTATTTGAGGCCTAGCGCAGGCTTTGGCGAGGCCTATTGAAGGCTTTTTCTCCTCCCCCCCGCCCCCCCCCTCATGCCTACCAGGGACTTTCGTGAGGCC